AAAAAAAAAAAAAAAAAAAAAAAAAAACAAGAGGGAGAAGACAAAAAGACAACATGTGGAGAGAGAGTCCTGATCCTTGCTATCCCAGTAAGCCAGCAGCAGCGCTCTGGCAAATTAGTGCATAATCTCAGCAAGCCTGCAGCAGGCTGCCTGCAGCAGGCAGTGCATCTTTCTCATCCTGGTGCACAGCTAGGAGCAGCTAGATGGAGCCAGTAGCTGCTCCGACACCTGGCCCCTCTCCAAAATGGTTCCGTGGCCAACAGCTTTCTTGCATGGGATGACTGAGCCCTCCACACTCACTGCCAGCTAGTGCAGTCCTTCACATCCACCACCACCCTCCACTGCTGCATCTCTGTGGAGGCCTCTGGGGTCTGAATCACTTCTCTTGTGTTGTGCATCCCAATGAAGGGAAGAGGTGCCACCAGCTACTGCTTATTCCTTGAAGTTGCTCTCTTCACTCTCTCTGTGGGCTGCAATCACACCCCAGGTTCTTCCTGGGCTCGACGGGCCCACTTTCTCCTCATCTTCCTCACTTCACTGTATTCCATCAGCTAGATGGCAACTCTCAGGCTCTTTTTCTGCTGCTTATCATTCTGCCATCTTGTGACCAACTGCTTACTAAACCTTGAAACTCTAGCTCAAATGTGGCCTTCAGACACCTCTGTTATCACAGCTGCTCCTTATTCTGAATTCCCATGACACTTTACAATAGTCATGGCATGCATGTATCATTTGGCATTATAATTTATTTTAGGTTGTTGGCTTAGCAAGGGCAGATGCTAAGACTACTTTATTTTTGAATTCTCCAGTAGTTAGCAGAATAGCATGTGCTCAATAAATGTCTGGCAAGTAGAAGAAACAAGTACCAAGAAGCACAGCCACAGCACAATGATACCATGGCAACGCCAGACACACTCCAGCATTCTTGAAATAGCTTCTTCAAATATCTCCTTGAAATAGTTCAAAGAGAAGAACTGCTTTCTTCTCTGTAATAATGCCTTTACCTCTTTGGAAACAAATATTTCCTCTGAATTACATAAATGTACCATTTCTCAACCACAAAGTCACCCCACTGACTCATGATCAGGACCCTTGTCCCAATTATATTTTGCACTCAGGCCTACTCCTTCCCTCCTCAAATAATGGCCACACATACCCCAAGGCTATTTGAAACAGGCTCAGTCAGCCATTATGGGCACATCCAAGTACACACAAACCCCACTAGAGCACAACAGAAAAGAGAATTCAATTCCTTTCTCCACAGAAATGACTTCTATTCTAGGAAGAACCTTATGGTCCCTTCCAGTCCAACAAGTCCCGTATTCTAGCACCACAGTCCCCTAGGTCCATCTAACGGCTGTGATGTTTACCTAGAGTGATAACATAAATGGGGGCACTTTCTTTTTAGACATTGAAACACTGCTATCGGTTTAATAGGCTAATGAAAGAGATATTACAGTCCTTTCAGTTCCAGCTAAAAGGGAAACAGTTCATTTTTTCTGTTGGAAGTCCTTGGACTTTGTTCTTGATCACCATCATATATATATATTTGTATTTAGTGTAGGGTCTACAGGGTCTCACTACATAGATCAGACTTGTAGTGATTCTCCTGTTTTTAGCTTCCCAAGCACTGCGATTACAGGCATGCACCACCACACCCAGTCTCAGTCACCATCTCAGTGCGCCCCAGGAGCAGGGCTGGCACGCAGGCTGAGGATTGAACCTCTGACCCCTGAGTCTGCCTAAGCAGGTGCTTTAATCTGCTGAGCTATCTGGTCGGCCCTCCAATAAAAAATATTAAGCATTTAAAAATTTATATTTTCTCTCAACATGCATATTTTAAGACATTTAAGAGGTCCTTTAATTATACATAAAAAAAAAAATGTCAGCAACAAACTAGATGCTAGTCTTTCCACTGACGTAATCACATGATCTTTAGGGCCTGCGGTCTGCTCCTGGCACCAGGCTACAAGACACTTGTACATATGGGATTCCTGAATCTGTTGTGATGGAGACACATTAGTAACAGTGATCGAGTAGAGAAGATCCTCATTAGAGAAACCACCCAAGCAAGGCAGTGCTACACCATGGTGAGAATGCATAAAGCCAGAGAGCCAATAGAAGAAAATATGAGCTAGAAGTGGGGAAAGCGACCTTTGCAGCTGCAGCTTGTCTCTGTGGATATAATATGTAGGATTCAAATTAGATTTCCATATTAAAGCCCATTAAAAGAAAACAAAACTGCCTGGTGTGGAGGTGCATGCCTGTAATCCCAGCACTTGGTATGCTGATGGATGAGGATCACCATGAGTTCAAGACAAGGTTATATAGTGAGACTCTGCCTCAAAAAAACAAAGCAGGGCCAGCCAGCCAGCTCAGTGAATTAAAATGCCTGCTTAGGCAGAACCAGGGGCCAGGGGTTCGATCCCCAGGTCTGTGGTGCCAGCCCCGCCCCTGGGGTGCACTGAGACAGACTGGGCATGGTGGTGTGCACCTGTAATCCCAGCACTTGGGAGGCTGAAAACAGGAGAATTACTGTAAGTCTGATCTATGTAGTAAGATCCTGTCCACCTGTCCTAAATTCATTAAAAAAAAAACAAAAACAAAAATACCCCTTAAGCAGTTATATGTTGTTATGGCTTGTATCTAGATGTTTTCCTGAAGACTTATATGGTCATAGGTGGGGTGTTTAGAAGGTGGCTGGATTAGGGTGTGTGAATGTAGATTAAGGATGCAATATTGAGATTAAGGGTATAGATAATGGTAGCTCCACCCTGGGTATAGGTGGGACCATTCAATATAGGCTTGTGGTATGGATGGAATATAAAGAGACAGAAAGAAGGCAGGCTTGCTGCTGCAGCAGCTGCTGCTTGGTACTTCACTGTCTTCTGCCTGCCATGCCATGAGCTGCTTGCTTTTGTGACGTCCCTCTGCTGTGCCATGCAGCCTTGGAGTCAGCTATAGACTGAAACCTCTACAAACTCCGAGCTAAAATAAACTTTTTCTCCTTTTACTATGAAAGGTTATGTTAAAAAAAAGTCTTGGACATGACATTTAGGAAAAAAAAAAAGGCAAAGTTGTCAGTTGTCAGACAGCCTAAAAATTACATCTGTCGGTTTTTCTTGTATATTTATCTTACACAAATATTTTCAATTATAATATAGAAGTATGGTAATAAACATATTTTATTAAAAGACACATGACTTTAGAAATCCTCTGACTTAATAACTGCAAAATAAATGAAAATCTGTTTCATGTTTTTACTGTAAAGCCAGGTCAACCTGCGCTCTTCATTTCACAGCAGGGAAATTCTTCTGTGCTGCTCTAATTTAGTTTTGGCTTTTTAAAATCAGAAACATGAACCTGCACTGTACTTCCATGGGGCTAGCCTCCTCTAAGAGGGCAGCCAGATGAAGGAAACTTGCATCCACCCATGTGTGTGGACAAAGGACTGTGGAAGGACATCCTGGCTGTCACAGGGGCAAGAATTTGGCATCAGGCAAAACACGCAGGTGGCTTCACTCTAAGGTGATTCTGAACCCCTAGAGGAGCATCTGCCTTCACGACCTGGAACCCCTCTCTCTTCCCTGATTTCCAAGAAAAGCTGATTTTCATCTAATTTAGCTAATTTTTCACAACATCTTAGTTATTAAAATGTAACTAATGCTTGGTATTGTGCACACGCAGAGGAAAAGAAGACTATAAAATGGAATAAAGGCTAGAATTAAAAGTCTAAGTATAATAAAAGTTCTCAATTGGGAAACTGATTAACAGCCAGATGTTTCCCTAGGATTCCTAAACTGAGCCCTGTGCCATGTTTCAGGGCCCAGGCTGTCAGTGTGCAGCAGCAGTGAAGACTCACATGACGACAGCCTATATTTCTTGAGTTTTTGTCCTGTGGATTTGATTTATTAAAAACAGGCATTTCCAAAGTTCTAAGACACAAAGAAGGAAAAAGAAAATCATCTTATGATTTTGGTTCTCATTTAGGGCTCAGGGAACATGGATGGTATAAACACAGAAGAATAAAACAGGAAGCAGCCCTGCTTTGGTAATAATCAATCAGCCCAGGTAGCTTATGGAACAGAGTACTTGTCCACCTTCCAAGCCTTCTAATTTCCTGTTCACCTATAAATCTGGGGTTTTTAATCTGCCTGGGTCCTTTGGTAAGAAGTCAGAAGTCATTGTCACTTTCATCCAGAGGCTCAGGTTTCTGGACCCGTCGACTGGGCTTAGCAGGTGAGACAGCAATGCTCTCGTCCTCCAGATCATCATCATCATCATCTTCATCATCCTCCAGGTCAATTTCACTGTCCTCTGAGTTTTCCTATAGGAAAAAGACAGCAAATGCAGCTGAGGTTCCCGTCCTGCTACAGCATCTCACCACAAGAGACTGCCTTGCTGTTCACTGGAACTCAGGGCTGACAACTGCTGCCCCCAGGTGGGGCCAGGCTAAGGACAAGGGCGCTCAGGCTGTGGAACACTGCTGGCTGGGACACATCCAAGTGGCTTATCAGCTAAAATATCCATAAGACACCAATGCGCACAGCTCAGCACTGCAGGGGTTGGCTGAACACGGGTGTCTTCATGCACCCCAAATGTGCACAGAGGGTCCTAGATGCTGTTTGGTTCCAGGGGCCAATGGACTACAAACACAAAGGGAAGGGAGGCTATTTTTGCTCCTTGCAGATGGGGACAGGAAGCAAACAAACAGTGGGTGGGAGAAGCCCAGTGAAAGGCACACCTGCTTGTCAGCATTGGGAGCAGAGACTGGCTCAGCCTGGCTTTGAAACTGCAGCTCCTGTGCCCCATGTGCACCTGGATGCTTCTTCACCCCAGCTAGACAACTGCTACCAGGCATAGCTTCTTAAATCAACCAACCAACGAAACAAACACACACAAGCAGAAAGATTATGCTATCATCCTCTCCACTCTGCTCCCCTGACAGCAGGACTCTCTGGGCAAGATGCTGACCTCACTGTCCCTACTTGTTCCCCCCTGAGGCTTCTGGATCTGGATGGCTCCCAGATTCTACCTCCAGGCACCCTCTCCGCCAGCTCTGCACCATCTGCCGGGCCTCCCTTGGCTGACTTCTCTGATCTCTGCAGTGCTGGGAATGCTCAAGATGGTAGCCTCTCATCTTTCCTCCTGTGTCCTCCCTAAGCCATCACATTCCTCCTCCTGTCTTCAACACATGCTAGTCAGGATCTCGGTCCACAAACCCCCAGGTGGCTCTTATCAAGATTGGAACACTCAGTGGGCCCCACTAAGCAGAATCCAGTCTTCACCTTGGCTGTGCAGCCCTGGCCCCATGGACTCCACCTCGCCACCCTCCAGGCACCCTCTCTGCCAGCTCTGTGCCATCTGCCGGGCCTCCCTTGGCTGACTTCTCTGATCTCTGCAATGCAGGGACAGCTCAAGACGGTAGCCTCTCATCTTTCCTCCTGTGCCCTCCCTAAGCCATCACATTCCTCCTCCTGTCTTCAACGCCCTCTGGATCTGGATGGCTCCCAGATTCTACCTCCAGCCTAGATGCCCCTTGAACTCCACACCTGAATTTTACCTGGCTACCCAACACTCACCATGTGAATTCTAACAGGCAACTTGCCCTAGAAGGTTCAAAACCAATTTTTAAAAATAGAACTGGGGACTGAACCCAGGGTCTTTGCACTAAGCTACATCTCCAGAACTATTTTTGAGGCAGGGTCTCGCTAAGTCATGAATCCGCCTGAGCGAGGCTCAGATTTGCCATCCTCTTGCCTCAGCCTCCCAGAATCCTGGGATTAGAGCCAAGCACTACCACATGCAGCTCAAGCTCCTGACCTGCCTTCCCAGTCCCCTCCTCAAACTGGCCCTTCTCAGGTACTATAGTTCTGACTTTCAGTGGATGAAATCATGGCCTACGTATATTTCATTCTTCTCAACATCCAGTGGCTTCAGCACCCAGTGCCAATTAGAAAAACCTGCTGGCTCTCATCCCAGAAGTATGTCAGATCCACCACTCCTTGGCCCCTCCTCTTCCACCTGAGGCTGGGCCATGTCGCTGCTGACCTGTAAGACCACAGACTCCTCTGCACATACAATTTCTTATACAGTCAGCTCTTGGCCCTCCTGGGTTTACAATCCTCTGGAACTTCCTGCTCCCACTTGGGAGAAACTGTAGAGTCCTCATCACACATGCAAAGCTCCATGCGTTGCCACCTCACCCTTCTCACCCCAGTGCTGCATCTGAACCACACATGCTGCCATTACCTCAGGGTGCTGTGCTCCCCAGACATGGATGTTCTCCCCACCCACGCATGGCCACTGCCTCCTTCCCTCCCTCCCATCTCCATCGCCCCCACTGTCTAAGCTTGTTTACTTTTTAATGCCTATGTCTATGATACATCTGCTCTTCTTGTTGTGGGATGTGTCTGTCCTGAAGGCAAGGACTAGGTTTTTCATCATCTTTATAATAACGTACAGCACACAGCCTGCACCCTACGGATAAAGGTTGGGTGGCTAAGTGACACATGAAAGATCAACCTCTGTGTTGGGGCGCTGTGTGACTGCATCCCAAAAAGTGCATGTGCAAATCTAACAGGCAGAATACTGCCTCAGATACTGTTGGCTCTCAGCCTGGACTCACTTTAGACTCAGAGAGAGATGCATGGGTGGAAACTACCACGTCACCCACATCCTACCCATTACAGCGTCTTGTCCAGGTGGTTCTCCCACCTTTCCACAGAGCCTCTCCTAGAAGTTCAAGGCCAGGTCAACTCCATGCATCCTGTCTAGTATACCCGAGCAACAGCTTGCTCCTGTTACTGTCTCTAGCCATTCTCCCTATGGGTACTGAGCCAATCGTGGTATAACAGTATAAGGTCCTGCTTCTGTCCTCTGTCACCCACCAGCGCTGTACCCCAAACACAGGGGAATCCTGGGCAATGCCGGTCTGAGATCTGTAGCAGTTCAGTCACCTTAGCTACATGGGCAGAGCCAGGGTCTGCAACAGGACAAAGACCCAGAGAGAAGGGTGGGTTTTTCAGATGGCTAGATGGCCCAAAGGCCTCCTTCTGACCAGGTTTGCACCTATTTAAGTTTCTTAGTAAAGTTTCTTGGTGATGTGGGTGGCCTGACATCCAACCTCCTGCCCTAAACCCTGGCTTGGTGAGAATGGAACTCAAGACAGGGATGGTCTTGTTCCTGGCCCTCAGCCTCACCCTTAGGTGTCAGTTAAGGGCCTGAGATACCTAACTACAAGTGATCTGCATCCAGCCAAGGCGCTCACCCTTTCTGCTCAGTGTAAAACCACAAGGCAGTGAGGCCTCTCTCTGTGGGATCCACGCTGAGTGGCATCTTGCCCAGCAGAGAGAAAGCATCCTGCCTGAAGGGGTTCTGCAGGACCTGTGTGGGCTGACAAACATCAACAAACAGATGAGGTAAAAGAGAAAACCAACCTGTTTCCTGGAGTTGGGAGTCTTGCATTTACCTAAGAGAGGTGGAGCTGCTTCCAACTTTGGAAAGCGAGAATGGAAAGAATAGTGAGAAGGTAGAAAAGAGTAAGAATAGGGCAAGCACATGTATGTGAAATGGGAAATAAGATCAACAAGCAAATGGGAGACTGAAGTCCCGTAGGAGGCCAAACTGACACAGACCATGTACTGTGCTAGGCTGGGGACAGCTCATCTAGCGGATGGGGAAAGCCCAGCACCCAGAGGCACAGAACCACAGAGGGGCCTGGGACTCACCTCGTCATCGGAGTCTCCACCTTGCATTGTGCCCACAATGTGCTTGCTGGGTCTTCCTGGGAGGAGCAAAGCATAAAGAACTCGTGAAAACTTTAGCAAAGAAGACAGTGAATGGCATTCATAATTTGCTTCTCCTTAGAAAACTGTAAAAGGAAGAATCACATTTTAAAAATTAATTTCATGCTTGCCTGGTAAACACAAGGTCCTGAGTTCAATCCCTGGTACCACCAAAAATAAAATAAAAAAGATAAAAATTAACTTCAGTAGGGCTGGTGAGATGGCTCAGTGGTCTAAAGCACCTACTTAGAACAAGCTTAGCAAAGCACAGGGACCGCGGTTCAATCCCCCAGCATCACATGCCAGCCAGCTCCACCCCCTGGTGGGCTAGGCTGGCCACACACACATAAAATAAATAAATAAAATTTTTTAAAAAATTAACTTTAGTAGTGTCCAACTAAATAGAATTGTCAACAAACAGTAATGGATTTCCTGCACTTCTGCACTGAAAGAAAAAGGACAATAAAATATGAACATGAGGGCTGAAGATATAGCTGAGAAGAGAGCTCCTCAGCATGTTCAAGGCCCTGTGTTAAATCAATATCATTGTAAAGCACAAACACACATACACACACACACACACACACACTCCAACCATGAATTTTAAAAATTGCACACTATCAGTGTGTTATGGTTTATATCTAGGTGTTCCCCCAAAGCCTCATGCAGTCTTGGGGCAACTTCTAGAGTTTGTGATTAATTCAGGATTTAATGCTGGGATTATGGGTGTGATTGCTATACCCCCCATTGGGTGGGTAATCTGCATACAAATGTAAGGAGCAGAGAGAGGCTAGCTAGCTGCCAGAGCTGCTGCCCCTCCCTTTTTCTTTTTGCTGTTTTCCACTGCCATGAAGAGCTGCCTTCTCCATGTGCCACTTTGCCTTGGAGCCAGCAGAGTGTGGACTGAAACCTGCACTAACAGTGAGCTAAATAAACCTTTCCTTCCTTAATTTTGGGTGTTGGGTATTTTGTCCCAGCAAAGAGAGAAACATAACTGAGACACAGTGTTTAAGGGAAAGTCAGTGAACTCCATTTTTAGTGTATATATGGTAGCACTAATATGCTGTCTGTTGAAAAAGAAATATTTCCTCCTTTTATGGACTAATAATACTTGAATCTAGTTCTGAGCTTCAAAATGAAACAGTTTTTAAAATAGTGGATCCCTTGGATGATAATAGTATTTGAAAGAGGAGGTAATTACTAATTATGATACAGTGGTACATTGGTTTACAAACTTCATTTCTTTTACAATTCTTTTGGGGCGGGGTAGATGGTTGTGTTTGTTACCCAATGTGGAGTTTGCAAAATTCTGCTGAATGCTTTGGTTTGCAAACCAAATTGCTTGCAAACAGAACCATTTGTGAGCTGAGTTATTACTGTACTTTATAGTGATGGTACATGCCTGTAACTCGAGAACTTAAGAGGCTGAGGCAGAGAATTGTGAATTGGAGGCCAGCCTGGGTCACAGAAAGAGTCCAAGGCCAGCCTAGAATACACAGCAAGATACTGTCAAAAGACATTAAGAGAGAGAGAGAGAGAGAGAGAGAGAGAGAGAGAGAGAGAGAGAGAGACAGACAGACAGACAGACAGAGAGAAGATAGATCTATATTTACTAACATGGACAGAGTTACAATATTTAATTTTAAAAACAAAAGAAAGCTGCAAATCATATTTTCAAAGTATTTGGTGAATGTTTAAAAATTTAAAATGTATTATAGTGAGAGACATATTGCTATTACTCTTCCTCAGAATATTCCCCCTTGCTTCCAATACACTTATCCCATCATTCTTGCTATGTTCTGATGCAGTTCTGGAAGTCTTCTTTTGTGAGCATCATGAGGTGTGATAAAAGCATAGTGCCAAGTGCCACGCAACAGAAAAGCAGGCTCATAAAAACATTACAAACATTACACCCACCTTATTCAGGGATCTGGCATTGTGTGCCTTCTGACTCTTTCCCACAATAAAAATAAGCAGGAAATGTAAATGTTTTTAAGCAGTTTAGGACATAGCGGCAGTCATGACAGCACAACTAAACACATTCAAGGAAGAGAACTTCTGGAACTGCTTCTCAAAGTGGCAAGAACAATGGGGTAAGTGAGCTCAAAGCAAGAGAAAGTATTTTGAGGGAGATTAACAGTAATGTCCTTCACTCTAATACAATCTTAAAAAGTTAAACATTCACTGTGTTTTAGAATCACACCATACCTGTGTTTGCTTCTGTGTGTGTCTATAAGTGTATGTGTAGCCGCATGTACGGAAAGGCAGTCTGTGAGGGCATGGCTGCTGGCTATCAGCCATGATCCCTCTAGAGCAGAACATGAGGACACCCCAGGGGTACACCCACATCTGTGTCACAAATTTTGTTGCTTGGAGAAGGTAGCAATCAAAAGTTCACCTCAAACACTGAGGTGTTCATGTGATCCTTTCTCCATGCATTAATTCCTATGCACTAAGACATGAAACTGCAGGAAGAACAATTTAGACAGAGAGAACACAGTTCAGTGGCAGAGGCAGTGTGTTTGTGTGGCCTCTGAGAATCACCAGGCCACAGACATGAACTGGCTACATTCTCAAGATCCCAAGGGAGAGTATGAAAGGCAACAATGAGCACTGAGCAGAACCTGATCCTGATAAACAGCAGGGCAGGGTACAGCTGGGGCTGGAAGTGCTCCTGGGGGCCAATGACAATCCGCTGTGGACCTGGACACCATGCAGCCCAAGGTCCCAGGGTTCTGAGAAACAGACCCTGGAGCAGGGTGAGTGAGAGCAGCAGCACTACCTTGCATGAGCACCTCCATGGCTGTCCGCGGCTTGGAGAGCTGTCTCTCCTCCAGCTCACTATCAGATTCATCGTCCTCTGGGATGTCTATCTCTGAGTCGTCATTACCTGGCAGGAACACAAGTAGAGCAGCTTTGTTAATACAAGCAAACAGTTTCTGTTTCATAAGGCACAGGTGCAAAAGCCATCTGCACTTCAGTCTTTCTTCAGATGCATTAGGCCTTATGAGACCCCCTAGGTCTGCCTGTTGCTACTGAGTGAAGAGTTGATGCAGACAATGTGTTTAAAGCTATTTTCCAAAGCTAGAAAAAAAAAAGTGGGTCAGATGCATTAGTCAGAATACTAAGATAAGACAGTCTTCGAAATTTTGTATACTGGAAAGTCAGCTGTTGAGGTATATGAAACTCTCGGCTAGCTGAGGGGAAAGCCGCTCTCTGGTCAGAGGAGGCTGCTACCAAGACTCAAGCTCCTCAGTCATAACAAAGACGAGGAATTGGATTCCTGCTGAAAAAGCAAAACTGGCAAAGAGGAGGCCAGGCTAGGTGGGAGTGGTAAAGTGAGCTGTCCTGAGAAAGATGGTGAGGTAGTGATAGGCAACAAAAGTATAGATGGTATCAATCACAAGGAAGTTGTATAATAAAGACATATTTTAGCTTAGTGGGGTGGCACATGCCTGTAATACCAGCATTCAGGAGGCTGAGGTAGGGGAATGGCCTTGAGTTCCAGGCTAGGCCGAGTGTTCATGATTTTGCTCAAAGGTGAAACCAACAACCCAACTTAAAAAAGCCTACTTGGCTGAGAGTTAGTCAGGTGTTGTGTCTCACTGCAGCCACAAAGGGATGACACTTCAATCTAAGTGCCACTCTGCCCAGTCAACATATAGTGCTTGTGTTAGTGCGCTAACACATTTGTCACTATGCTTTTGTGTGCTTCGTGTAAAATATTGTAGCCATGGCTCCAAAAAAACTTAGTGATACCAGCAGTACAGCTCAGAGGAAAACTGTGAGAACCACATTAGAGTTAAAGAAAGAAATCACTGTGAAATTAGTTAAATTCTGGAAAAATGAACTTACAAGTATAATTTTTGGAAACCAAAACCAATTATTTGATTTTTCATTATTTCTTATGAGAAAAACATGTTTGGTTCTTGAACTTTTTGGTGCTGGAACATGAATTTGGAATGAAATGAGTTTGGCAACCAAAGTATCACTGTACTTGTTTGGAATCTTGCATTTGCAAGCTGAGCATTCTCATCAGGAAGCTCTGGAAGAGAAGTGGCCACAGCACAGGAGCAGCTCTCACTGCCCAGCCTCTGACTTCTCCACGTCCAGACAGTGATGCAGTTTTTGGAAGGAGGGAACTGGTGGGCTTGTCATGGCTGTTCTGATCACTGACTCAGAAGTCAGTCTAGAAACACAGTGGGGCCAGGGAGATAGCTCAGTAGAATAAGAGCTTTCCTGGCAAGCGCAAGGGACTCAGTTCAATCCCTGGTTCCGCAAAAAAAGGAAAAGAAACAGTAGTTCTATTGAAAGATTTGCTTTGCTCCTGCCATGAGATGGCAATGATACATAGTTACGGGGCCCAGCAGGGGCACCAAGGTACAGCTTTCTACTCACTGTAGCCTTGGAGAGAAGAGTTGTGCTCTGCAGGTTGGGAGAGCTAGGTAAGAACCAGAGGGAGTGTTGTTAATGAGCACGTTCTTCAAGGCCTCCAACATAGTTTGAAAGCTACATCTTCCAAAGTCTTTACACACACACAAAAAGACTGAATATTAACATAAACTGATGAATATAAAATATCACTATTCAACTTGGTCCAGTTTTTACTTCACCCAGGAAAATTATTACATTAAGTCCTTACCCAATGAAATGTAAATCAAATGATACAATGAAATTTAAAATAAACTGCTCAGGGGCTGGTGAGATGGCTCAGTGGTCTAAAGCACCTACTTACAACAAACTTAACAAAGCACAGGGACCACG